AGTAGGGCTGGAGCACCAGAGGAGTGAAGAGTTTTAGTTTGGGGCCATATCAATGAAGGTTGGTTTTTTTTTGGCAGGGTGTGGTTTGTATTTTTTTTATTTCTGTGGGTTAGTGGCTTATGATCCAAAAAGGTTCCCCACTCCTACAAATATGTTTTCTTTATTTAGAGACCCTTTTCTGTTGGATATAAAATAATATTATTTCAGGGAGTCAGACTAGATGATCATAATGGTCCCTTCTGACCTTAAAGTCTATGAGTAATATTAGCTTATCAAACTTCATTTTAAATAAACATGAGAAAGTTAAAGTGCTTAATCTGTTGAATAATTTAAATTAATATTTCCTTTCTTACTGGTTAAATTAAACTGTTCGCCCTAGCTACAGCACTAGCAAAATGGCTCGGACATAATTATGTAATTTAATGATGGTTTTCCATTAGATACTTGTGGTCCATGGAAAGGTTTGTATTGAGCCAGGCGGTCATGGGCCAAAAAGTTGGAGAACCACAGGTTTTCAGTGAAAACAAGTTATGTGTTTGGATCACTATTTGATTGACAAAGATATATTGTGAGTTGTTGAAAATAATGAGCAGGCCACATAAAATGTAAACTTTCTTAACTTTTTAGAAATATTTGTCTCCATAAGAATATTTTCTGAATTGTCAACAGATAAGCTGACAAGTGATTAATCATATTGTTCATACAATTTATTTAAACATTTTAAAATGTCTTTGTCCATAAAAGCTTATGCCCAATAAATCTGTTAATCTTTAAGGTGCCATAGGACTCCTCATTTTTTAAATATTTTCACATTTTTTTCTATATTTTCAGATATATTAATTTCAATTATAAGACAATACAAGGATACAGCACTAACTTTATATTTATTTTGATTGCAAATACTTGCACTGTAAAAACCAGAATTTTTCATTTTCTCTGTTACGAATACTGTAGTGCAATCTCTTTATCATGAAAGTCGAACTTACAGAGGTAGAATTATGTACAGAAAACAACTGCATTCAAAATCAAAACAGTGTAAAATTGTGGTGTCCACAAGTCCATTCAGTCCTACATTTTGGTTCAGCCAACTGCTTAGACAAAACCATTTGGTTTACATTTTCAGGAGATAATGTTGACCGCTTCTTGTTTACAATGTTACCTGAAAGTGTGAACAGGTGTTTACAGGGCACTCTTGTAGGTGGCATAAATATGGTCATACTGGATTAGACCAAAGGTCTGTCTAGCCCAGTATCCTGTCTTCCAAGAGTGGCCAATGCCAGATGCCCCAGAGGGAGTGAACAGAACAGGTCATCATCAAGTGATGCATTCCTGACCACCAGTCCATACTGATGACAAATTCTGCTTGATAGTGGTTCAAACAATGCAGACCAACACCTGTTCATTTTCATCATCTGAGTTGGATGCCAACAACAGAAGGCTGACTTTCCTTTTTGATGGCTTGGGTTCCAAAATTCCTGCATTGTAGTGTTGCTCTTCTTAGACTTCTGAAAGGCTTAGAACCTCATCCCTCAGATTTTGGAAGGTACTTCATATTCATGTGTTGAGTGCTGTAGCTATGTTTAGCAATATCATATTGGTGCCTTTGTGTGTTGTTAAATCTGCTGTGAAAGTGTTCTTAAAACAAATGTGCTGGGTCATCATCTGCTATAACATGAAATATATTGTAGAATTCAGGTATAACAGAGCAACAGACATACAGTTCTTGCCTAAGAAGTTCAGTCACAAATTAATTTAATACATTGATTTTTTTTTTAACAAGTGTCATCGTCATTGAAGTATGTCCTCTGGAATAATGGCCAAAACATGAAGGGGGCATATGAATATTTAGGAACGCTGGCTACGAAAGTGCCATGTGAACATCTGTTCTCATTTTCAGGTGACATTGTAAATAAGAAGTAGGGATGTGAACGTGTACTTGTGTACACAGTTAAATGAGACTGGGCTGATTGGTTAACCCTCATGGTTACAGGCAGCAACACCCTCCCCAGCTGCTGACTCTGTGAGAGAGGCAGGAGCTGCCTGTCTCCTTCCCCCCCTGCACTGTTGCCTCCCACAGAGGCAGCAGCAGCATGGAGGGGAGGAACAGATGGGAGCCTGTGCTTGAGAGCACAGGCTACCACCTCCCTCACCCATGTGTAAACTTTTAACCGCTGAAAATTTCAGCAGTTACATTTACAAAAAGAAGTGCATTTTAACATCCCTACTAAGAAGTGGGAAGCATTACCTCCCATGAATGTAAGCAAACTTATTAGTCTAAGGAATTACCTGAACAAGAAGTGGGACTGAGTGGATTTTCAGGCTCTAAGATTTTACAATGGTTTGTTTTTAAGTGCATTTATGTAACAAAGAAGAAATCTACATTTGTAAGCTGCATTTTCACGATAAATATATTGCACTACAGTACTTGTATGAAGTGAACTGAAAAACTATTGTTTTTGCAGTGCAAATATTTGTAATAAAATAATAGTGAGCATTGTGAACTTTATATTCTATGTTGTAATTGAAATAATATATTTAAAAGGGTAGAAAAACATTCCAAAACTATTTAAATTTCAATTTATATTCTATTTTTAAAAAAGCGCAATTAAAACTGTGATTAATCTTTTTATATCTCATTTGATTTTTTTTGAATTAATCATGTGAGTTAAATGCAATAAACAGCCCTAGTAAACAGAGTACATAGTTTGTCTTTTCAATCTGTAATGTAAGAAGAGTCCTATAATTACCTATTTAAAGGCAGGAATTAAAGTTTCACAGGAAACAGTTGTAGTTTGAGTTTAGTAAGAGACTATCATTTGTTTAACCCTCCTAAGGGTTGAGTGACTCGGTGATTAAATATAAACCTGTAGAATATCTTTAAATGTAAGTTGCTGTATTCAGTAGGTAATCAAACTGATTTCAATTTTAATAGGCCGTTCTGTTTTATTGGAACAACCTCGCAAGTCTGGCTCTAAAGTGATTAGTCACATGCTTAGTAGCCACGGAGGAGAGATTTTCCTTCATGTATTGAGCAGTTCTCGGTCAATTTTAGAAGATCCACCTTCAATTAGTGAAGGATGTGGTGGGAGAGTCACAGACTACAGGATTACAGTAAGATACTATTTTATGTTTTTAGTATTACTCAACAATTCATCAAAATTCAGGGATGATGGGGGGGGGAGGTTGAAACACAATTTCCTACAAAACAGAATTTCTGAGTTACTTATCATATTAGAAAATGGTACACCTGAATAAACTATTTCTTCATTCTGCTATTAATAGCATTTATTCTCTCACTCATGCATGCACGTGACAACCACTTTATAGGAACTTCCTAACTCTAGCCCATGTCTGTAGGCAATATGAACTTTCTGAAATGTTCTCATTGATTACAGTTTTAAAATATTGTTTATCTTGACAAAAGAGGTAAGCTGCATCCAGTCCTCTCTCAGAAGGATAATTGTCACAATGGGCATCTTTGTGAATAGCAGGGCTGAACAAATAAAAAGGGGCTGGAGCTTATTGACTCAGGTGTGGGGGATGCACTCTAAGGAAAGCCATTTTATTGTTTTTAATTGATACCCTCTGCATTCAGTGCACATTAGCAAAAAGTGGCCTATAATTCCTTATTTTGTTTACATATGTTAAGTTTTTATTACTAAGCCAAAGCAATCCATTTCCTCCCATGTCCTACAGTTTTGTGAATCTACGGTTTCATGAAGTTAAGATTGACAAATACCTTCCTTAAATGCTTTCTGTATGTTAGCGAGATTAAGGACTAGTCAGTCGACTAGTCCATTTTCCTGCCTCCCGCTCCCCTCCCCCACCCTTGCTGCCTCTATCAGATAGAGACAGCAAAGGAGGGTAAAAAGGGGTTACTTCAAAGCAGCAGTGCCACACAGATGATCCTGGGATCAGCTGTGCTGTGCTGCCCTGCATGGAGCCCAGGGTCAGCTGGGGACTCCAGCTGATCCTGGGTTCCACTGAAATGCGGTGTGGAGCCCAGGATCAACTGGGGAATCCCCAGTTGACCCCTGGGCTCTCTGGGGCATTTCAAATTGGCAGTGCAGCATGGAGCCTGGGGTTCATGCTGCACTTCCACTTTGAAATGCAAAAGAGCCCCCACTGGGGACTCTTGTACATTTCAAAGGAGGAATGCGGAACTCTGCGTGCAGCCCAGCGCCAGCGGGAAGTCCCACTGATTCTGGGATGCATGCGGGTGCCAACTTTGAAATGTACAAGAGCCACAGCGGGGGCTCTTTTGCATTTCAAAGGAGAAATGCAGAAGTGCCTATCAAGTAGTCGATGAAAATTCTGTCGAGTACTCGACAAGTAAAATACCCGATAGTTAACATCCCTTCCGTAAGTATCCAAAGTAGAATTGCTTGTGAGATTATTAAATGTAAACATTTAGTTTTTAGGGTTATATTCCTTTTCCTTTCTGCATTATTCATAAGGGAGGCAATGATGTTTGACCCATTCAGTGAAAATTATTTTGTTAGAGAAGTTCCTAATTTTATCTTGTTTGGTTATCATTAGGATTTTGGTGAATTTATGAGGGAAAACAGATTAACTCCTTTTCTAGACTCCAGATATAAGATCGATGGAAGTCTTGAGATTCCTTTGGAACGTGCAAAAGATCAGTTAGAGAAACATACTCGTTACTGGCCTATGATTATTTCACAAACCACCATCTTCAACATGCAAGCTGTAAGTGATCATGGCTCTGTAATTTCCTTTTCTTTTTCTGTTCTGGAATAAGACTTTATTTTAAACTGTACTTGTGGAAGAACTAATATAATAAAAACTGCATAGCTGATCGCGTGCTATAAAAGAATAAACAAAACCAAATCAGAATAAAGTTTTAGCTTTCACTTTTGTTTAAGTGCTTTGTGTGTATTTTACAACTATAACTTTGTATCCAAACGGCTGCACGCAAAGCTGTTAGTTTAAGAGGGAGACGTCATGTACAGACGCAAGGTGGGGACACTTCAGAATGTAGGATAAAGGATTTTTGTCTTTTAATGTCAAGCTCTGGTAATGCTTCTAAATGTAGATTTTGTTTTGTTTTGTTTTGTCTTGAAGGTAGTGCCATTAGCCAGTGTTATTGTGAAGGAAGCTCTGACGGATGAGGATGTACTGAATTGTCAGAAAACAGTGTACAACTTAGTAGATATGGAGAGGAAAAATGATCCACTGCCCATTTCAACAGTTGGTACCAGGGGAAAGGGTCCAAAAAGGTTTTAACATTTATTGATTTTTGTTGTGCTTTTGCAAAAAGTATGTCACATCTGCGTACATTCCAGGTGAAACTTGTATTTTTAAGGTGAACAATCAGAGGTAATATAGAGTGCGCTAAACTATATATACAGGCAAAACAAATGCTGAATATAGTTTGGCTGCATCATTAGAGCTGTAATCCTATTCCTCTGGTTTTATGTTGAAAGAAAAACTCAATTGTATTTGGGAACAACAGATTCAATTATATCTTTATTGTATTTAAGACTTTTTTTTTTTTTTTTTTTGAAGAAAAATATAACCATGCAGGGAAACACCATCTTGACCTTAATGTGGGTTAGAACAAAGAAATGCAGGTCACCACTGGAATCGTGGAAATTGGAGACTTCCCAGGCTATTGTATGTTTAACATATTTTTAATATTTGATTATCTGAAAAGTAGCCATACCATTGTCCAAACATTTTATATAAGAGATGAAACTTCCCTACAGCAAATTTGGAATTCGCTAATATCCCATCTGTTGGAATAGTGATCTGCATTTCTTGTACAGCAATCTAATCCATAGGGGGACTGTTGCATCAGTATGAACAAAAAATTATCTACGAAAGATACTTAAACTATTCAGTTCTGTAGTGTTATGATGATTATTGTTTTGTCTTCAAATTTTGTCTTAGAGAAACACTAAACATTTGAATCTGGCAGTGAACAGATGGATTTTATTGAAAGAGGTTTCTTTTTGCCTTGAGTTGGTTAGCTCAAATGACTTTAATAGATTTTGACAATGTTTCTACAGTAGTTGTGACCCCAGGAAATTGATGATTGTGACTCGAGGAGATTTGGGATTTTTAGGTTTGTTAGTTCAGGTTTGTTGGAAGCAACTGACCATGTTCACATATTATGTGGCTCTGTTGATTCCAAGAATGAAACAATACAAGGTGATCAGAAATATGGCTGTGAACTGGTAACCCTAATGGGTGATGCTTACCAGGTAACAGTTAACTGGTACCTGGGAGTAGCCCTGCCTGGCCCCTGTGTGGGGCTA